GCCGCCAAGGGCGCGAAAGACGCGCTCACAAAAGGACTAGACGCGCTGCTGCTAAAGACGCCGGGCACGCTCGTCGCGAGAAGTGGCTGCCGCCGCCGTCGGGAGGGCGGCAGCCACTTCTCGCGCTGCCCAACGCGCCTTCGCCGACCGCCGCGCCATCGCCGATGCCGTTGCTCGCGCTACCGGCGCCACCGGCCGCGCGGGCCGCGCTGGCGGCGGCGCCGCCGGCCGCTGCGGCTCCGCAGAAGCGATCCCTCGCGCAGAATCGCCCTCGGTGCCGCGGCGGGCCGGGGGAGAGGGCGTGAGGGTGTCTGTGGTGGGTAGGGGCCCCTTGCCCATCGGGTCGCTGCGCGCTAGAGCAGCGGCGGCCCGCCTAGGGGGCTCAGGGCGGCCTGCCGGAGGGTGCCCCTACGGCTTTAATGTGAAACACCTCCGGGGGAGGCCAACTTTGAGTGGTTGTGCCGAGTACTGTTTAAGGGTTGTGGGGCTGCTGTGGGCGGTTTTGGGCGTCCCTGGGGCACCCTCTGGAAGGGTCTGGCCCGTTGGTTCGGGGGGCGTCGCGTCTAGGGGGTGTATTCACACCTCAAAAATCGTTTCACGGAAGGTACACCCCTCCCTACTGTCGCGTTTTGCTGTTCAACAGCTAGGGACGGCCTCTGCGGCAAAGTCAAACCACCCCACCTCACCTACCGCAGCAAACCTTCGGCTCCCGCTCAGAGGCTCGCCGCGCCCGTGCGGCGCGCCGAGGCGGCGCCGAGGCCGGCGCCTTGCACCCGGCCCGCGGCCGGCACCGCCTCGCCCCACAACTGACCGCCCTGCGGCCCCTGCGCAGGCGTTCCTTCGACCTCGCTCAAAAAGCGACGGCCGGGTGTGGGCTGCTCCCTTGCCCCGTCACCCGCCGCCCTCGCCCGGCCGCCTCACCGCGCACGGAGCGCTCGGCTGCTCGCCGCCGCCGCCGCGCGTCCCGCGCGTGTGTGTGAGTGTGTGTGTGTGTGTCACACACACTCACGCGTCCCGCGCCGCCACGCTTGCCCCCCCTTGCCGGACGCGCGCTCTGTGCAGCGGCGCAGAGCGCGCGTCCCTGGCACAGACGGAGCAGCGACCGCGCCAGCGGTCGCTGCTCCGCCCCTCCGTCGCGCGCGCGTCGCTGCTCCGCCCCTCCGCCCTCGCCCCGCCCACCCAGTCCGCAGTCGCCCCGCGTCTCAACCAACACCCTTCCCGCGGCCACGCAGGGCCGTGTGGTGTGTGTGACACTGTCTCTGTGAGTGAGGGGGGCGGCGTGCGCGTGGTAAATAAATGAATAAAAACGGAGACCTCGTGAGGCGTGGCGCCGCACACACACAAGAGTGGCTCGCAGCCCTCCCTCCCGTCCTCACCTCCGGTGCACCACTGCACACCTCTCAGCGCACACCTTCGGGACTCACTCCACAGCCATGCGCGAGGAGGAGGGACCTCCTGCCGCGCCTCCCTCCGGCTCTGCCGGCCGCGCGCGGCAGTTTGGGTTGCCATGCTGGCCGGGCACGCGGCCTGCCGCCGCGGCCGCGGCGTGCCGCTGCTCCTTGCGCCGCTCGACATCGGCCTTTGCCTTGGCTTTCTTCCGGAGGGCCGCCTCGTCTGCGCCTTCCTCGCCTGCGCCCTCCTCCCCGTCCTCGCCCTCCTCCTGCTGCTGCTGCTCCTCCGCCCACGGCGGCGGCGCGGAGTGCGCGGGCGCCGCGGTCGGCGCCGCGTGCCACGGCCAGTCCGGCGGGTACGCGTCCTCGTCCTTGAGCATGACGGTGAAGACCTCGCCGGGCTGCTTGCCCGGCGGAATGGTGACCTCGATCCGGTCCCCGCTGGGCGGCCGGACAAAGATGGTGTGCGCCGAGGAGGCGGTCTTCTCCGGCATCGCAAAGGTGTGAAACGACCACTCCGGCTTCTTGATGACGAGCTGGACGTGCTCCATCTGCAGCGAGAGGCGGCCGATGGACCGCTCGATGCGCCCGAGGTCGGCGGCGAGGCCGCCACCGCGGAGATCGCGAACTTTCGTCTCGAGCTCGTTGATCTTGAGCTGCTTCCAGTCGAGCTTTTGCTGCAGGTTCCGATTCTCAAGCTGCAGAGCCTGCAGGTCGCTGGAGGCTGCCATGCTGGTCGCTAAACCACCAGTATCACGGCCAAAAAAGGTTTAGGGTGAAAAAGAATTCTCAAACGCCCGTCGTTTAACTAAAAAAGAATTATCAAACTCCGGCGTGACTCGGCGAAAGCAGCAGGCGAGGCCAGGGTCATTGTGTCTGGGCAAGATTTGCTTCATGTCACAGTCGAGCGGGCCGCACGCCTGCGGCGGAGGTGGCGGCGGAGGCTCGCCGCACCGACGCACTGCGCTCTCGGACGTCGGCAACACTCCTCCGCGCCCGCTCGGCGTTGGAGGCCGGCCCGGTGGCTCTCCCGTCTTGGAGCGCTGCCGTCAGCAACTCGCCGACGGTGGTGGCGCGGATGCGGTGGTGCCGCTGCCGCCGGGCGGAGTCGCTACCGTTTTCCCTCCGCCACCGCCGACCGGGCCGGCCGCTTCCGCTGCGGGGTTGCCGCCGCCGCCGCCGCAGCCGCCGCAGCCGCAGCCGCACGTCGACCCGCCTCCACTGCCGGCGGCGGCGGCCGCCGGCGCGACGACGAGGGACTTCTTTGGACTGGCCGCGAGGCAGGTCGCACGAGACGCGTACGAGCACGCGCAGGCGACCGGGGTGGTGACGAGCTCGGTCGCTTCCGACCGGCTCGATGAGGCCTCTCTCCGCTCGTGGGCCGCCGCGCTCTACCTGATGGAGGGCGGAGAGGAGACGCCGCCTCGCGCCGAGCGTCAGGGTCGCGCACGCTCGCCCCGTTTCGCTGCACGCCGGCGGTGCTTGCTCACCCCCCCCCCCCCCTTCCCCTCGGTTGCGTAGTCGCCGTCTCGCGCTACAAGGTGACGCACACCGACGCCACTCTGCTCTCGTACGTCGGCAACCTCCGCGTGCTGCGGCAACGACTCGGAGCGCAGTGGGCAGGCTGCCAGCTGTCGCTCCGCGACCGCGAGCTGCGCACTGTCTTCGGGTCGTCGACGCCGGCCGGCGGCGACGGCATCCGCCGGGCTGCCGTCCCCGACGGAGCCGCTGACGGCGACGGGCACACACATATGTGCCGCTCACGTCTAGCACACCACGCCCTGCATGATGCGCTCTTCTCCCCGGGCGGAGAGGCCACCATAGCCACCGCCACTAGCCCTCGCTCTCAGCCGCTACCATCGCATCCGACCATTTCCTCCGTCCCCTTCCCTCCACCCCTCGGCAGCGGCGGCTTTGAAGTGTGCGACGAGGCCATCGACCGCGTGCTCGGCGACGCCTCCGCCCACTCCAACCCGCGCGTGCGCGAGGCGGGCGTCGCCTTTGAGGCCGGCGAGCAGCTGCACCGCGTCCGGTGCGCGTTGAGCGGTGCGGCGGCGGTGCGGCGAGTGCACCCGTCCCCCTCACTCTTGCGCCGCCCAGTGCCTGCTGGCCGCCGCTGTCGCGCTCGAGGCTCCGGGCGAGCCGGAGGAGGAGCGGCGCGAGACCCGACAGCTCGCGTCGGACACCCTGCGCGTCTTTGCGCGCAGATGGGGCTCGTCGGACTGGCCCATGGAGGCGAGGCTGGTGCTCGGCCGCTTCGACGATCTCGTCATGCAGGACATCCGCGAGATCGAGATTGCGCCGGGACTCTACGGCTGCTTCTGCCGCAGCGGCGACTCCGACGAGGTGCTTCTGGGACGTTCAGGGCCGGCGCCGTCGTCGACGCCGCCGGCCTCGATGCCGGCGGCCTCCGGTGGCGCCGCTGGCGATCCCTCGGCGCCGCCAGCTCTGCGGTCTCGCGAGCCCGGCGAGGGCGGCGGCGAGGGCGGCGACGAGGCGCCGGTGGCCTCCGCCTCCACGGAGGGGTGGCGCACTGGGCTGTGGAGGTGTGGCACGCGGCCGGGTCGGTCGACGCGAGCCGGTGGCAGGTCGAGGCTGACGGAGGGCGCCTCTTCTTTGTGCGGGTCGCGGGAAAGGCCGCATAATCGCGCTCTCCGCCGAGGCCCGCCTCGGCGACGGCGCTCGCCGCGCAGCAGCAGCAGCAGCAGCAGCAGCAGCAGCAGCAGCAGCAGCAGCAGCAGCACGTGATTCTTGACACATGATTACACTACACAGTCCTCCCTTCGGTTGTCGTTTCGAAGCTGTTTTTTTCTTCTATCGCAGCGCACTCGCATCTGTGAGCCTAGCGCAGCGCGAACTCGCCGTCTGGGCCTAGCGCAGCGCGAACTCGCCGTCTGAGCCTAGCGCAGCGCGAACTCGCTCTGAGCCTAGCGCAGCGCCTCGGAAAACACCATTTTGGCTCGCCAACAAGCCCTCCGCGCCCCCACACCCTTAGGATAATACTTTTTCTCGCAGGCGGGCCGCCTACAGTAGGGCAGTCAGTCAGCTTGGCTTGCAGGATGCTGGAAGGAGGCTGGAGCCCGGCGAACGAGAGTTTACCGCTCGGGCAGGGCTTGAGCGTGACCTCACCGTCGCAAGCGTTTGCGGTGCCGAGGGTGCTGGTCGCTGCTGCGCACGCTAATCCGTCGATCATGCTCCCGACTAGTGCAGTCGCAGCCGTGCCTGACGCGCAGCACGCAGGTCAGCGCCAGGGTCTGTACCCTCCGTCCTCCTCCTAGAGCGTCACGTGACCGTAACACGTGCCCCGCCTCACCCGGACCTTCTCGGTCGCAGGCCGCGCCGACCCCTGCATGCATGGCCTCGAGCACGTCTTCCCTCCCCCAATGTCGCCACAGCTGCCGCCTCAACCACCGCCCTTGGCGTATCGCTCCCTCGCGTCCGGGGAAGCGGGCGGCTGTTGCTCGTCTAGCGTCTGCTCGACGCGCGGCGGCTCGGGCTGCCCGTTCTTCGTCTCCTCGCGCCATGTGCTCCTCTTACTGTATCTCTTTGCCGCCTTGCTCTTACTTTCTACTC